TCCAGGTGTACTTTCTATAGTCCAGGTGTACTTTCTATAGGAAGAAAGATGAAAAAACGCCCGTTAAGATAGAAACAATTACAAATACAAACAGGAAGAGTAGAGCGAGTAAAGACGGCAGCAGAGAGAGGAAACGTGGTCAGTTTGTCCTCCAGCAGTCTAAGCCTATAGCAGCATAACTAAGGGACAGCTCAGGAAACCCAAGCCAACCCAAACTATAGGATTTATCAAAAAGGAAAGTCTTAAAACTGGACAATGTGTCAGCCTCACGGACAGAAACTGGAAGTTGGTTCCACAAGAGAGGAGCCTGAGAACTGGAAGTCATTCTGCTTTTGGAAACTCTAGGAACCACGAGTAAACCTGCAGTCTGAGAGTGAAGTGCTCTGTTGGGAAAATATGGAACAATAAATCTCGAATGTAAGATGGAGCTAGGTTGTTGAGAGCTTTGTAGGTTAGAAATGAGATTTTGAATTCTATTCTGGATTTGACAGGGAGCCAATGGAGAGAAGCTAAAACTGGAGAGATATGATCTCTCCCAGTAACTCCAGTTAAGACTCTGGCAGCAGCATTTTGGATCAATTGAAGACGTTTTGAAGAAGTATTTGGACACCCAGATAATAAACCATTGCAATAGTCCAGTCTAGACGTGACAACTGCCTCACCCGTCTCTCCCATCAACTCCTTGTTTTCAACTTTTAACCAATCATTCATTCTGTGTCATTCGTCACGTGTTCCCTTCTTTTAACTCAATCAAAACCAGTGCAAATTGTGCCATGACTTCCTGTTTTGAACAAATGTATTGTGGGGTAATGTGGTTCATATATTTACTTGTAGCTTACAGTTGGTGGCGATGATGCTGAGGACCTGCTAGAAGTGTCCGTCCATCCAGCCGTCCATCCAGCCATCCATCCATCCAGCCATCCATCCAGCCATCCAGCCATCCATCCATTATCTTTACCCGCTTCTTCCTTTTCGGGTCGTGGGCGTCACTGATGTTCCACATTACAATAGATCAAAGTTCATGCTCAATAATCCAGGTAAATCCAGGATTATTGAGCATGAACTTTGATCTTCTTAACTTATTAAACAATGTTTAAATTTGAGCTGCAGGGTTGGAAACTTCACAAGATACATAAATACAGAAACTGTTGTTTTTATTTTACTTCGAACACAGGCTAAACCTTTTTCTCCGTGTTTTCTCCATGAATTATATAAATGGATGAATATATCATAACAATGTAGCTGAACCATTTCCATCTTTCCCAGTTATGTTTCATACACTTCAACTGGTTTAATGTGTTTTTGTGTATTTCCAGGTATATGAAGTGCAGCCATCCAGCAGTGTTCTGAAAAAGATCAGCTCTCTTGTCAGTAAAGTTTCGGAGCCGCTGCACCCTCACGTTGAGGAACATCATCAGACAAACATCAAACAATTGTCCCACACGTTCTCCAGGGAAAAACAGCACCTGTAAGAGCCTGTACACCCAACGGACATGTCACCGTACACTAAACTGACTTACACAGAGAAATTAAGAAATTAAACAAAGCTGCAGCAAATGAAAGAAAAGAACAACTATAACTATTATCAATGAACTTCATCACTTAATGTGAGAACGTTTAATAAATAAACACACAATTACAAATATGTTTGTGAGAATCTGTGTGTGCTGTGTTATTTATGTATATTCTTGTGTTTCCTTCATTCTCCAGTGTTCTTTCCTTCATGTTGTCCAATCCCAATCACCCCAGGTGTTCATCATGGTGTCTTGTTAGTGTCTCTTTAGGTTCTGTGTCTTTGTGTTTCCTTGTTGTTCATGTATTGTGCTTTCCACAGCTGTCCTGCTCTGTTTCTTCCGTGTTTCCCTGATCCTGTGTTAAATGTAAGTTTTGCTGCCACATCAGCTTTTTTGAATATTTGTTTAATAAATAGATATCCTTTATTTTATCCTTGAGTTCTCAGTGTCTGTCTGCACTGGGTTTGATACAACCACAGATAATGATATTGGTCAAAAGAAAGTTTGTCATTCATCTAGAAACTTGACAAATGGATGATCAATAAACTAAATTACCATCAGGGGTGAACGATGCTGCTCACAAAGAGCTGCAAAATAAACTGTGGCTGTCGCAGAAGGCCCGACCAACTGGTTCAACTCCACTCTACCCAATATATGTACATTTTATTTCTTCTTCTTTCGGCTGCTCCTTCTTCAGGGGTCACCACAGCAAACTGAGTCGCACAAAGACTTGACAATTATTTTTAAGCGGATGTCCTTCCTGATACAACCACAGACCACCGAGCTCCCACAGCCCTCTGTGTGGAGCAGAGAGCTGCTGTCTAGGGCGTCAGGGGGAGCAGATGGTGGTGGACGGGGGCCTTGCTCAAGGGCCCAGGGTGGGACAAGTGAGGCTTGAGGCGGGTGTTTCACTTTTCCCACCAACATTTTTGATGGAGTTGAAGCGGCGACCTTTCAATCACAGGCCCACCTTCTTTAACCTCTGCACCACCACTCCCCCATTTATTTAATATGAAATATTTATTATGATCCAACTCTCTAGCGGTGTAGCCAGCCACTAAATGTGATGCTCTCAGTGCAGACACATTTCATTAAGTGGTGGCCTTCAACAGATGTTTCAATTGTTGATGTTGGAGTAAAGCCTCGGTGGTTCTTACAGTTTGGGCAGTGAACCCTCCGACGTCTGTTTCTGCTCTGAATTGGTCTCTAGTCGACGGTGCTGCTTCATTTCACAGGCCTTAAAAACAGCACCCTGCTTTTAACACACTGAGCTCTCTGCTCTGGCAACAGTTCATGCTCAATCATCCAGGTCCAATCCAACCAAATCCAATAATGCTCGGTCACGTCCTCTGGACAGTTTCTTTTTGCGCTCCTCTGGCACTGACGTCAGTAAATGAACACTTCAAAGTCCAGATCGTGTTAACAACTTTACGTACCAGAACGCAGTCTCTCAGGAAGCAGTCGCTGCAGCGTGCACGTGGAGGCTGCGTAAACAGCCTTCACCATCAAAAACAACAAGGCATCAAAAAAAGAGGGCAGATTTGTGGATTCTGTTCAGAATGGTTTCGATTTAGTTTCTGATGTTTCATTGGAGCTCTGCAGGCCGGATGTGACCCACAGTAAAGGAAAAAACACTATTTCTGCAAGAGATCAAAAATGAACATCCACATGAACGTGTGCACACAAGTTGATAAAATAATGGCAAAGGTTTATGAAATGGAAGCTTTAATTTTCATATTTGAAATTTTAATTTGGGGCGGCTGTGGCTGAGTGGTTTGAGCAGCCGTCCTCCAATACGAGAGTCGGGGGTTCGAATCCACCAGCAGTCACATGTCAAAGTGCCCCTGGGCAAGACAGTGAACCCCTCATAGCCTCTGATGTGTGTCCCATCGGTGCATGAATATGATCTAAAGCACTGATTAGTCTCTTTAGAATGATTTGTTCAATTAGCTTTGTAGAGATCTAGTATAGAGCTGTATGAACGGGTAAATGAGGACACAGATTGTTGTAAAGAGCTTTGAGTATCTTGAAATAAGATAGAAAGGAGCTGTATAAGTACAGTCCATTTTAATTAAAGGAAATAAGGGCCACCTGGACAAGTGCAGTTGGTAGTGTTGCCTTTTAGCGAGAAGGTCCCCGGTTCAAATCCTGGCGAGGGGCCGTTCTGGGTGGAGTCTGTTCTCTCTGTGCATGTGTGGGTTTTCTCCAGGTACTCCAGTTTCCTCCCACAGACCAAAAACATGCATGTTAGACTGACTGGTAACTCTTGATTGTCCCTAGGTGTGTGAGACAGAGACAGAGAGAGAATGGTTGTTTGTCTCTGTGATGGACTGGAGACATGTCCAGGGTGTCCCCAGCCTCTCCCACAGTGACTGCTGGATATGGGCACCAGTGACCCCAGTGGATGGATGGATGGATGGGTGGATGGATGGATGATGGGTGGATGGATGGATGGATGGATGGATGGATGGATGGATGGATGAAAAAATTGAGTAATTTTATTTTAAATAAAGTTAAATATTTAGAAAAATATAAATTCAAAAAGTAAAAAATCAGCAGACTATTCTCAATAGAGCTGAATGTTTTGATTTATGAGTGAAGATAACTCTGAATATGCAGAAGTAGTTTCACTGCAAGAACCGTACGGAAGAAACTAGAAAGTTTTAACGCTGACTCAGCGCAGAACTGCTCAGGGAACAGGAACGACAAGTTCAGATCTCTGTGAATCCCTGCTTTGACTCATGTTAGGATGTCGTCTGATTTGTGGCAGCCGTGTCCGGTTGGTTCCGTGTTTATTTAACAGAACTGAGTTCTGTCTCCTGTTAAGAACAAGAAGTTTAATCTCTGGATCCTGCTGTCGTATCTTCAACACGGAGCAGATGTGAGACACCCTGTTCTTCGTCAGTTGGTCATCTGGCTGTGAGTTTTATGGAGACAGTTGGAGCATCTTAATTTTTCCTGAAGTATAACTCTAGGTGAAAATAAGGCTGTAAACAGCATCACTGCTGTCACACTAAACAATGCTTTAATCTAAATAATCAATCCACAAACTGACGTTCTCCTCTGAAATCAAACTTCTAACTTGTCTATAGTTTTATTCTAATCATTTATTTCACTTTTAGTTTGACTTCTCTCGTCACTTTGGTGAAAGTGATTCCAAGTAAAACCAAAAGAAAACTTTCTGGTCCAACACGAAGACTTTCCTCTGTTTGAAGAAACATTTGTCGCTGCATGTCAGGACGTTTGTGTTGCTTTGAACTGTCGTCATTCATCTCAGTCAAACATTTCACAATGACCGTAGGCTCAGACTTTTCAAGAGATGTGAACAAACACGTGCACACAAAGATGCACGTAAAAACCTTCTTGAGCATCAATAATGTCTGACAAATTCTTTACTAAATATAGTTTGTTTCATTTGTTCCATATACAGTTAAGAATGTTTCCATCCATCCATCATCTTCCTCTTGTTCTGGACTCAGGTCTCGGGTGCAGCATCTTGAGCAGGGAGGTCCAGACATCTCTTTCCACAGCCTCTTCCAGCTCTTCTGGGAGGACTCCGAGGCGTTCCCCGACCAACAGAGAGACATAGTCTCTCCAGTGTGTCCTAGATCTTCCCCGGGGTCTCCTCCCAGTCGGACATGCCCGAAGCACCTCCCTAGGGAGGTGCCCAGGGAGCATCCTTACCAGAGTTCATGACCAGAGGTGAGGGGAGGAACATAGACTGACCAGTAAACAGAGAGCTTTGTCTTACAGCTCAGCTCCCTCTTCACCGTAATGGACCAGCACAGAGTCCACAATACTGCAGACGCTGCACCAATCCATCTGTCAATCTCACGCTCCATTCTTCCTTCACTCATGAACAAAACCCTGAGATACTTGAACTCCTCCACTTGAGGCAGAACCTCACCCTCGACCTGAAGAGAACAATCCAAACTTTTATGACTGAGGACCATGGTTTCAGATTTGGAGGTGCTGGTTCTCATCCCAGCCGCTTCACACTCGGCTGTGAACCGCTCCAGTGAGAGCTGAAGATCACGACACAATGACGCCAACAGGACCACATCATCTGCAAAGAACAGAGATGGAATCCTGAACCACCGAACCGGACTCCCTCCATCCTCTGGCTGCACCGAGAAGTTCTGTCCATGAAAGTTATGAACAGAATCAGTGAATATGTATCTTTAAGATGGGGGGGGGCAGTGGTGCAGAGGTTACAGAAAGTGGGCCTGTGATTGGAAGGTTGCCAGTTTAACTCCCCAGACCAACAACTTTAAAATCTGGGTGGGAAAGATGAAACATCCACACCTGATCTGCCTCCACCCTCGTTTGTTCCACTCTGGGCCCTTGAGCAAGGCCTTTAACCCCCACCATCTGCCCTTCATGACGCCCTAGATGGCAGCTCTCTGCTCCACACAGAGGGCTGTCGTAGCTCGGTGGTCTATGGTGGCAGGAAGGACATCTGGTGTAAAAACAAATGACAAGTCTTCGTGGGAGTTAGTTTAATGGGCAAGACACTGAACCCTTCACTGCCTCCGATGTGTGTCCCATCGGTGTATGAATGTGATAAATCTCTGATTAGTCTCTTTAGAATGATTTGTTCAATTAGCTTTGTAGAGATCTAGTAGAGAGCTGTGTAAATGAGGCACAGCCTGCGTTGTAAAATGCATCTTGATCAGATAGAAAGGTGCTATATAAGTACCGTCCATTTACCAGTTACCATAGAAATGGTTCAAATGAGGAGAGTGTGATGGGAAGATGGAAGGAGTACTTTGTGGAGCTAATGAATGAAGAGAATGAAAGAGAAAGAAGAGTAGAGGTCATAGAAACTGTGGACCAGGAAGTGGGAAAGATTAGTGAGGGTGAAGGTTGGAAAGCTCTGAAAAGAATGAAGAAGGGGAAGGAAGTAGGACCTGATGACATACCAGTGTGTTCCCAGCAACTCTGGAAATCAGTGATAAACTGGAAAATGAATTTTACATTTTCCAGACAGTGAAAACAGACTGGGATAAATAGACTGAGAGAAATGAAACGTCAAAAATGAGGGGAAACCCTGGAAATTTAAACACTGATTAAAACATGGTTTATCTGAGATTTTGACATGTTCATGTATTAATGCTAGTATTCTAGTATCATTGTGTCCATGTACTGCACGTTAAAGTACTTAATACTGCAGCGAGGATGGTGGGCTCGATGAGAAACAACAGAAAAGGCTGAAGACTGAACCTGCTTTCGTGTTTCCACAGGTTTGACTGCTCAGACAAAGACAACTTCTTGGACAGCAGAACAAGGAGCTCCATAGTAAGTCCAAGTCTGATCCCACTGTGTTCAGATCAACTCTTCTCGAACGTGTAAGAAAAAGTAGAAACGAACAGTTTTGTGAAGCAAACACATGAATGTGTCCTAAACATAGGTCACATCATCAGTCCTAATGGTGAGAAAACAGTACCAGACAAAACTTGGAACAAACTAAATGTGATTTTGTTTATTTTTTGTTAAACACTATCAACTAATACAGTCAAACACACATACTTTAGTACAAAATGGATAAAAACACCAAGTGTGTTCTAAATTTTATGTTTTTTGAAATCATCCAAAAAGCTTCTGGATCAATATGATCATTTTTTACACTCGCCTAAAACTCAAACAGGTAAGAAGTGTTTTCTCTAGGGCTTCATATGAGCAGCATCAGATTTAAACACCTGAAGGTATTTTCCAGTTATATATCTCCATATACATATTATTTTGTCATAACTCTCAATACCTGTAAAAACATCAGAGTTGTAAACAAGTTTGTATTTTCTAACGCTGCTTTGCTGTAGCTGCCATCTTGAATTGTGTTGACTCCAAAAGTCACTTTGGTGCAGACTTACATCCAATGAATACTTTCTAAACATTTCTTTAAAGTTTGTTCTGTGATTCATGAGATCATTTTCTATCATCAAACAATATATAGACAAAGGGGAAACGTGCTCTGCCTTTGCTTCATCTATAATTTCATCCATTTTCTGACATCTTCATGAATTTTACCGAGAATCCCAAGATTATACATTTGGATTTGTCTGCCTGTACTGGAAGAGTCAGTCAACAAGCTTTTTGTGGAATAAAGCGATTCCCAAAACAACCAGGTGTAGACATCATCAGATTTATTACAAAGCTTTGGACAACAGCCAGCAATCACAGACGATCAATGCAAGTGCACACTTATCAATGTCTTCACCTGTCTGAGGTTATGAGCCGTCCTGACTTCCCGAACTAAAAAGTTCGTTTTGTAGGAAACTCCCTGCCGCCAGCCTCCGCCCTGTCAAGCTGTTGTCAGAACCAGGCTGCAGACAGAGACCATGAGGTATCTGGGAAGCCGGACAGCTCGAACCACGTCACTATAATCATGTCAATCAAATCTTGAAGATAATAAAATTGTCTCTTGCTGTCTCTTCAGTGATCGCTCACATGAAGACTGATTATTACATAGAGTAAGGATCATGGAACATTGTAATATCATTCACAATAACAGTAAAAGAGCAGTGCATAAATACATTAACCAAGTCAAATATTGGAGCGTGTTGAGCACAAAAAATACACGTTCTCTTGACGAAGCTGATGCTGTCTCAGATGATAATAAGCTATTAGGAAAAGAAGCAAGCATGAGAATGGACAACAATCAGTTCTTTGTTTGGTACGAACACCAGCATCCTCACCAACTTCTATAGGTGCACCATTGAGAGCCTGCTGACAGGCTGCATCACAGGGTGGTACTGGAACTGCACCAGTCAGAGCTGGAAAGCTCTACAGAGGTGGTGCAAACATCAGAGGACATCACTGGTAGCAGTCTCCACACCATCCAGGACATCTACCACAGCCGATGTCTGCGTAAAGCACGCAGCATCATTAAGGACCACACCCACCCAGCACAAGGACTCTTCCATCTACTACCCTCAGGCAGACGATACAGGAGTCTGTCATCACGTACAAAAAGACTAAAGGACAGTTATTATCCACAAGCTGTCAGATTACTGAACTCTCAATAAATAACACTGAGCAACTGGCAATTACTAACTAATAATTCATCATACATCAGTATCACTACCTGTGTAATAACCTGTCACACAACCTGTGTAGTTTATGTTAATAATGTGCTATATATATAGCATGTGCATTATAGCTTATATTACCACCTTGAAATACTTATTCATTCAAATTCATCCTGCTTGCACTGTTATATTTTACCATGTTGTTGTTTATGTAGTGAACTTAATCTGGTGTCACGACTAAGCCTAAGGTCAAAATCCTTGACCTTAAGGACCTTGTGGGACAGAAACTGTCATTTTATTGATTTGAATCCAGAAATACAGGTTCTCCCATCCTGAGACTTTCTTTCTTGAAGATTCAAGTGAAAAGAACACTCTCTTTTTTATTATCATTACTATTTTACAAATGTTGATAATCAAAGTGTCTTAGTTCAAATGAAATGCAAACGTGAGACGTCATTTATATTTGACCCATCAAAATGAATGCGGTCATTTATTTACAGAATCAAAGTTTAACATCAAACATTTACATTAATTTGGCAAATTATGAAAATAACAACATAATCAATCAATCAGGAAAAATCATACGGCCATGATTTTTCCGTTGCTTCACCACAGACATTTATGAAAACTGTACAATTATGCTCTTTTACCCACACGGATGTGGATGAGCACTTTACACAGACATTTCTAAAATATCTGGAAGAATTTCTACTTGAGAGGAAAGTTTAAAGATGGGAAAGAAGTTAAAGGGAGTAAAGATGGTATGTGAGGGGAAGTGTTCACCAGAACCGACACTCTCCATCAGAACCCAGCTCACCTCGGTACGCTTGGTAGGAAACTTGACTCATTACCTTTCTGAGATTAATCAGCAGATATGGAGTTCCGTTAACGCTACCTGTCCAGCGTCTCCTTAGGATGGCTGTAGCTCGTCAGAAGTAGTGGCGAGTGGAAAGTGTTATATTCCCATGACTCGGAAGAGCTCTGTTGTCATGTCAGGATCTTCCCGTCTCCCAGAACTGGGCTTCTCCGCACAGAACTGAACAGAACTGAACTCAACCGAACCGAGTGGAACCCTCACAGAACTCCAGCAGAACTGAGTAGTTTACAGATCTGAGTAGACCAGGAAGTACCGACATTTTAAAGAGCTCTTTTTCCGGTCCATCTGGGAGTATTCCCATTGGCCAGAACCGACCAGACGGGGTGTGTTTTGTGACGTAAAAGGTTAGAATGCAGCAAGAATTGTTATGGGACAGATCAGAAATGTTCTCACAGACAGAGAGAGTTTTGTTTTGGCGCGTTTCAGAAACAGGTGCCAAAAACCTCTATATTTATGTCTGAGAGGATTCTAAAAACATGACAGTTCGTTCCAACAACTGGTTTTGCGTTTGACTCCAACCTTGGACCAACTTACACTTGCTCATTCAAAGACAGAAAATCAGAAAATGCATAATTACTCTGTAACAGCTTTAACATGAGTTCTAACTTTGCATGAGAAAAAATCATTACACAGTTAATAAAATTGATTAGTTCACTGCAACATCTAAAATGGTTTGAACTAAGACACTTTGATTATCAACATTTGTAAAATAGTAATGATAATAAAAAAGAGAGTGTTCTTTTCACTTGAATCTTCAAGAAAGAAAGTCTCAGGATGGGAGAACCTGTATTTCTGGATTCAAATCAATAAAATGACAGTTTCTGTCCCACAAGGTTCTTAAGGTCAAGGATTTTGACCTTAGGCTTAGTCGTGACACCAGATTAAGTTCACTACATTTACTATCTTTCTTTAGGACATTGTAAATATTAAAATTACTTCTTCACCTTTTGATACTTTTTTTTGTACCCTTATTGCATGCTTTTAGTATTTCTTGTTGGTTTGTTATTAGATTTTTTTTTTTTGTGAGTCAAATCAGTTCTTCTCATCCTGAGCATTTCATTGTACTGTTAACCTTGTGTTAACCTTGTGTTAACCTGCATATGACAAATAAACACAACTTGAACTTTCCATTAGTTTTGCTGTTTATTTCATTTTTACTTTTTGTAATGAGGACAGTAGCTGGTTTGTATGTGGATTAGCAATCACTTCAGGGTGTCGGGTCAGGTCAGCAGTTATATATGTTCAGGTGAGTTGAGATAAAAGGAGAAAATGTCCAGGTTCTGGGTTTAACTTGAACTTGTCTTTAATTAGACTTGAGCATGAACATCAACACTCCTGGGTATCTCGGTGTGTGTATGTGTGTGTGGTTTTCTACAAGAGGATAAACCAGATATACATTATAAGTACTAGTCTATGAAACTCCATATTACAATGCAACTTAAATATCTTCATGGGAAAAAAACATAACTATTTTTTTCATTCAACCTTTTTTTATTCAGATAAATCACAATGAGCCTCAAAGACTCTTTTACAAGTGAGACCTGTTTAGACAGACAATAAAAGTGGTGAAAGTGACCACATAGGTTTTGGAGGCAAAAAAAATTCCTAACAGGCTCTCAATCTCTGGCTGAAGATTGCTAGCCTAAAAATGAAAAAACAAAACAAAAAAACCTCGCACACAAGCACGTAATGACACCGACATTCCACAGAGGAGGGGGGATGCAAGGGCGGTGAGTGTGTCCAAGGACACCCCAGAAGCGCAGTAAGAGTTTGGATGAGAGTGGTATAATCGCTCAGTTCCCTCTGAAGAGATCCGTAAACACTCTCAAGGGTGCCGAGGTCGACCAAGGACAGTGTCAGATAGAATCCAACGAGTCCTGAAATGATGATGGAATGTTTATTCAGCCGGGGCCCTCTGATTGGTCCATAGACTTCCTCGGTGGGAGAGGGGAGGGGGCAGAGAATCAAGTTTACAGTCTCCAGGCGGATTGAGATAAAGTGGCCTGTCAAGGCCAGCCAGGGAGCCGAAATCAGATGGGAACAGGCAGAATGTTACTGATTATGTCTACCTTGAGTCTGAGTCGGTCCTCTTAGTTCTAAAACATCTTAATTAAGTGGACACACCACTGGTCCGTGCCTGAGAGTATTCCCTGAGGTCTGATCCATCCTGCCAGCGAATCCTAGGGGTCGCAAGTAGCCAGCAATTCGCATAAATCACATCCAGTCTGCGGCTTAGTTCGCAAAGCAATTGAGTCTGGGTGCTCGAGGCACGAACAAAGCCATAAGACAGGCAGCCTGACCAGGGCCCAATTTGCTGCCGGTGACTTCCTTGTTTGTTGATAAGCCAGGAACCAGCCAATTCCAAAAAGCAGGAAACCTGTAAATAAATTCAGTTATATATGTGTCCTCAACATCCTGGATTGACAGCTGATATAGACAATCACCTTCCACTTTCCCCAGGAATCAATGACATATCCAGCTGTGTGCGTGCCATCAGGGCAAGTTGGTTCACCTAAAGCCTGTTTTCTACTACTAAGGCCTGGTTGATGAAAATGCACAGCATAAATGCACATAAAATAACTATCACATTTATCAGTAATTAACGCTACATAAAGTATACATCACACAACAATGTAAAACATTTCAGTTGGAAAATATGAGACACAGACATGAACAGTATCATATACACAGACCTACAGGCCTCAGATAAGTAATGCTAAGTGGCTAGCAGTTAGCTTCTCCAAAATACTCAAAAAAAGGCTTCGAACCATCATTGCTCTTAACAAGACTTGAAATACAGTTTTGAGCTTAGACAAAACAAGGACAGAGCACACATAATGTTACTCACTTCCAATGAACGTGCACTGTTAATGAGATTGATTAAAGGGAGTCTATCACACTGATAACTGCGTCATCTACTGTTGTCATCACTCTTTGTTAAAATCAGGTCTCTCTTGTAAATGAGTCCTCGAGGCTCAATGAGACTAACCTGTATAAATAAAGATTGAATGTAGTAAGTGAACACTGCACGGGACCACTCATACAGTATTAGTGAAGGCACCTAGTGGCAGAAATAAGAACTACAACACAATTCTCAACTACAGACGTATTAAACCGGAGGGCCGAAAACAAGTAAATAACCGTCTTTGCACAGTTTTCATTATTATAAATGTTTTAGCAGTTTGGTTTTCTAACTTTGTTTGCTTCCCTGTCAGGTATTTGAGATTTTAAAAAGAACCAAATGCAAGACGAAATACAACATGGGTAAGTCTGGGTTTTTTTTGTATCTCTTACAAGTGACGCGACATTTGCGAACGATCCGAATCGTTTGAACGGCACTTTACAACGAACAATAAGAACCAAGTTGCAGAGAGTCATTCCTGGTTTTATTTTTATTCCTGCCTTGTAATTTCTTCATGCTTTCCTCTTCAAATGCAGAGACAATTGCTCCTCCTTCGCTTTTTCCCTGAGACAAAGAAAACAGGCAAAGGGGAGGAGTGCAGCGGGGTGGGGGGGGGGGGGGGGGGGGGGTGATAAAACATGTGGTTTGTCGCTAGTGGCGTACATGATGGTGTGCATGATGGTGCACGTCGTACATGTCACTGACATCACTGTTGTTCAAACTGAACAGCTCTATGAAGCACACAGATCGTCAAGACCCGGTTCCCTTCAAAGAGCCACATTTCTCATCTCTACTTCACGTCTGTAAATATGTCCCTGCTGCCATCTAATGTTAAACTTTGCATTTTATCTTTGAAATGGTCTCATTTCATAGAACATTTGAAATTGTTAATGTTTCATTGAGATTAAACTATGGGCTTATGAAACTGGAAAAATTCTGTTTTTAATTACGTATTACGTATTAATTATTTAAATTTTTTTAGTATTGAATGTTTTTTGAATGTTTTTAATTACATTTTATGCAACAACCCAACTGTTTCAAATTTTGGAGTGTAAGAAATAGTTATTTTAGAGGTGAAACCGTAAATGTTTCCATACCGGACCATCAAGGCACGGATATCTTGGACAAATACGTACAAGGACCAGTTGACGACTATAGTCCCAGCCAATCAACCACGTCTGTCATCCTGAGGAGGAAGCTCGTGATGTTTTTGTTCCTCCTCACAGAGTAAACTGGAAAAAGGGAACTGGAAAAACCCTCCATCTCCCGTTCGGTCGGCCAGCAACGTTGTGAGCATGATAACGCGAAAAATAAGCAACACAATAAGCTGAATCCCATTTTAGTGTGTGGCTGCATCTAGGTGTAGAAAAAGATCACAAGTAAAAACTGGGTTACAAGATCAAAATTCAAAATGGCCACCACCGTACAAATATGTAAACTGGCCACCCCATCATATGAGGACCCTATATGCTTTCTAGTCTAACAAGGTTAAGTCAGGTCCTCTGGACGGATTCTTCTTTGTTGAAACGTTTCAACAAAGAGAGAGGAGTGAAGGAAGAGAACCCGTCCATCATTAAAAAGGGGCGGAGCCTCCGTGTCCAGCTGCCCCCCTCTTACAATGCTGTTATTGCTAGTATCACACAGCAAGCGACCATCAGGGCACTAACGATCATTCATCAGGCTGGTGGTCCTCCTTCTACATGTGAACAGTTAGTTCTGGATATCAGCAACAAACTGGTTGATCCACTATGAGGGGATGTTTATAAGACCGAGTTTGTTGCAGCTCCTCAGACTGAAGAAGTCTTTTGGATAAAAGATGAAACATTTCAACAAGAAGAATCTGTCCAGAGAACCTGACTTGTTAGATTTATGTTCCTGGATTATTGAGCATGAATCAAGATGTACTTCCTAGTTTGTATACTACCTAAAACTATAGTTTCCTCAAATGATTTATGTGGCTGAAGATTAATCTGTGGGGGCCAAGGCCACCATTGGCTACCCCCTGACTCCTCCATTGCACCTGGTGGTGCATAAAAGTGCCCCCTCTGCTCGCCAGGATCCATCACTCTGTGCCACTTCGGACAAGCAAAAATGATAACTTGTCCACGGTGTAACTCTTAATCACTTGAATAAAAACATTCAGGTTTACTTTCATTCCCTGTCCAGCTCCAGTCCAGACAAACTACAAAACATTCACTATTCAAACCCCTCAGTGATGGGGGGCAGTGTTCTTATTTTGTTTTGTTTGTTGCGAACAGCCATGATAAATTATCTGTGCAGCTGATGGGTTGAAATATTTAGCTGACTGCTCTTATACAGGTCAGACGTGTAAACTGAGGTTTGAGTTTCTGGTGTTATAACTGAAAAGTTGAAAAGTAACATGTCCTTGGTTGTTGGGTTTTGAGCTATTGAGACTGATTATGAATACTTGTGTATTTTATAAATTCATATTAACGTGCACGTCTGTATTGTGTTGGCAGGAATCACCAGTCTCCTTGGCAGCGGTGTTTACACAGCAGCTTACCCTCTTCATGATGTAAGCAGAACCAGTGCATGATTAGCAAAAATTGATGATTGACGTTTGAAAATTGCGATGGTACTCTGATGGTACTCTGATGGTACTCTGATGGAACTCTGAT